CTCACCACGCCCAGGGGGTGGGGCCCGCACCGCCGTCCCTGCGAAAGGGGGCGTGGCCCAGAAGTAGGGGAAAAGTGATTCCGCGGGACTCCCGAGCAGCGGGGGGGGGCGGGGCGAAGGTGACGTCACGGACCAGCCCGTGACGTTGCTTTAAACGCATCCCGAGCGCCCTGTGGCGTGTCGTCACGCCGCTGTGACGGAATGCGAGTCCCATCATTCCCAGCCCACCACTCCCATCACTACAGTGCCCATCTCCCCCACCTAACCGTCTGGCTTTACCAGTTGGACCGCAACTTACATTAGTGCCCTGCCACACCACCAGACTACAGCTCCATGGACCCTAATCCCTCCAGATCTCTTGGACAACAATCCCCATCATCCTGGGTCAACACGCCCTGAGCGGGGAAGGGCTTGGGGCAGCCCTGCGCTGCCCCCCAAGAGAAAGAAAAGCCCAGCTCTGCTCGCACCCCAAGGAAAGGGATCCCTTGGGCCAGCGAAGGAACGATGGGAGGTGTAGTCCGCCCAAACGAAGGCCTCTCCCCCCCTCACCGTGGCTGGTCCTCAGACTGCAGACCCCACCGCCGAATCGCGAAGGCCCCGCGGGGTAGCTCTCCCTCTGTGGGCTTCCGCCCAGTCGCAGCTGCACAGGAGCCGCGAGGCCCAGACCGGCCTCGAAACACCCAGGCAACGCCTGCCTGTCCCATCCCGGGCAGAGTTCCCAGGGCTGCAGGACGCCCTTTGCACATGCTCAGGGGCACCGCTGGCATTCCTCCATCCCACCAGGCCTGCTGAAGAAACCCATGGACGGCAGCAGGTTCCCCGCTGGACGGACGGCCTCCGGTTCGCTCCCTCCGTAAGGGATCCCTTCTCTCTCTCCATCACAGGAAACGCGATACGGCTGCCCCGCGTTGTGAAGTATTCATGATATTTCCAGGGGCACCGCAGAGGAGCCGGAGCAGCTCTGTGGAAAGCACAGGCTTGGCTGGCGTGGCACGGGGCGAAGGCTGAGCGCCCCACCAGCTCTTCGGAAGCGCGAGGAGCAGCTCTCTGGAGTCCAGGTGCGGGGCAGCGGCTAACCTGTGGACGGGACTGGATCCCCCGCTCTGTCCAGCGCGTGAGATCGCTGCCACTGCACTGCCAGGACCCCGCCCTCATTCCTTGCAGCACAGCCCCGCTTCTCTTCCTCTCTTCGGACCTTGCTTCAGATCCCCGAGAGCCTCAGGTTTCCCCCTCGCCTGACCGAAACGTTTTGGCCCCGTCCAGGCCATGGAGGGTCCCACGGCGGAGCCTTTTGTGGACGTGGACAAAGGCATCTGCCTCGCCTTCCTCTCCCTGATGTGCGTCTTCCTGCTGGTCATGATGGTGAGGTGCGCCAAGCTGATCGTGGACCCATACATGGCCATTCCCACCT